CTCTCTCTCTCTCTCTCTCTCTCTCTCTCTCTCTCCATTGATATAGTTCTGAATTATCTCCTTCCAACTGTATGTCAAAATGTACAGTGTATATTTTAAAGCATTCACAAATTCATGATCAACATGCACGACTAATTGGTAAATATTTATGAACTAAATTCACAAGGCACGTAATTTGATAGTGACACTGACAAAAAGAGCATATCCTTCCTCGAAATTCCGAGGATTACGCTCTCTTGCGCTAGCTGCACCTCTGGAACATGTCATAAAAACATGACAGAATCGACGGTTCCTCGTGCACGGCCTTGTGGATTATATAAGATGACTAGATTGGTCCTTTGATAAATGTTGTACATACAAAACGTGCGGTGGTGTACCGGTAAAATTGACCGGCTATACAAGTTTGATGTTGCTCCTCTTTAAAGGACATGCATCAGACTATAGCGACGGATCAGTTTATGCACCAGAAACCAGTCAAGCATCCTCGATATCCAGGGGTTATGCTCACTTTCGCCGAGCCTAACACCTGGATATCGAGGATGCCAGCCGAATAGCTAATCGCGTGTCTTCAGTTTTGTCATGAAATATTCAAGAAATCAAGTGAGCGAACAACAGTCTGTAAAACTTTGTCCCAAACTCTGGTATACGAACATGTTGTCAATCCGATTTTCATTCACCACAAAAGAGTAAGAACACAAATAGATGCCAAACTGATTTAGTCAGAATTTATCGGAAAATTAATCTCTTCTTAATTTCGGACTTCCTTTCTGAAATCATTTATTAACGTACCAGGACGAATGTCACTTCCATTAAATATCCCAGTTTAAGAAAATATATATTTCGTGAATGAACGTGAAATTAGCGAGTGATATTTGACAACATGATTATAATTAAAATATACTAACCTGCAGGAAACTTTTGAAATAGAAGAAAGTATAGTATTATCATCGTACCAAATAGGCCCTGCATATTAATACACATTAAGTGTTCACTCGATGAAATTTCCTAAGCATAAATATCTCCCTTCACGTAAATATTGACTATGCCCAACTACTACCGTAGCTGTCGTCATATGACGGCTTTTCATCCTGAACACAGCAACAGCATGATGCAAATACCGAGTTTTTCTTTTTCTTCACTGGCGCTTTATACCCAGATACATCCCAATGGTATACATGAACCTCGGCAAACTTTGTTCCGCGGAAACTCACGAAGAGTTTGTCTCTTACATAGAGCACATTGATGGGCTTCACGTCTACACCTAACTCATATGTATTGGCGATCGGGGTTGACAGGTACTCGCCTTTCTGTGAGAACATTTGCACTCGAAAGTTGTTTGCGTCGGCAACATAAATATTTTCGTTTGTGTCAGTACAGACACCCATTGGGTAAAATAGTTCGCCATCTTTGGATCCCTGTGTCCCAAAACAATGGAGTATCGTTCCGTCATTTTTGTGGACTTTGATTCGATGATTACCACTGTCCGATATGATGATATCGTCCCGACTATTAACTGTGACGTAATAAGGCAACAGAAAATGGTTTGGTCCTTTCCCCCGGGATCCGAATTTGATCGAAGGTCGTTTCCTATCTGTGAAAACGTTGAGCGTATTAAATTGTAAACTAGTTATGAGTACTTTCCCTGTCCTTGCAACTTTAACTCCGAATGGGTTTTCGTACTTGTGGTACGAGCCATACGATGCCATCAGCCTCCCGTCAAACCCATACTCTCGCAATATGGCGGAACCCGCCCTACTGACCGACACTAGTACGGAACCCGACCGCGTGACTGATATGTCACGTATAGAGCAATCACAGACGAACCCACCACGATAGTCACCTTTTAAGGAATACACCAGAATCTTGTTCAAGCTGCAGTCTGCTACAAGTATATCGTCTGTGAGGGGAGATAATGCCATACCCGAAATCTGAACAAACTGTTCCGCCTCCATTCCAAAACTTCCGAACTTTTTCACGAATTCTGCCTGACGTTTCTTACCATGCGACATATGGTGACTGGAAGCACCCAAGAGAGGTTCTTTGACAGAGCTAGGCACATTTACTGAAAAGTCATCTTCCGTGACCTCAGTGGATTCCGCGAAGTGTTTGAGCTCCCCGTCCACCTCCACTGTGTCCCGTAGACTCTTGATGAAATGGTTGTCGGGAAAGTCGACCACCCCATTGTAAGGAGTGTATATCACCTGCAAAGAACATGTCCAAACATCTTACTAGTATGTCATTTTGATTTATTGACGTTATTGGTACAACGGGAACATCAAACAAGAAAGGGATTTACGAGCTGGTATATTCATAACTAAACGCGGCTTCTGTGTTCGAAATTGGCTTTCGTTGAGTTGGAGAAACATTCTAATGTGTTATTCTGATATGGAAAACAAGAAAATGCGTGTTCTTTGAATATTGTTCTGATGTACCTACAGTGTAAAAGCACACGGAGACAAGGGCGAAATCATTTTGTATATTTACTATTTGATGACATAAAGCAGATACAGAATAACTTCAATGGAACAGTGACAAAAGTAACGGTGTGCCTTAGTGATAAATCATACTTCTGAGAATGCATCAAGCTTGAATTTATGTCAGATTCGTTTAATTTTGAAGAGAATCCACCGACTTTACAATACATACTATCAAATATTGAGCAGGACCATTAGTAATGTATTGTACTGTTAGTGCATCTGGAACAATGGCGGTACTGTGCATGATTCACGTGACAATAATTACGTAGTTGTATATCAGATTGTAGAAATACAAATGTATTATCAGCATAACATAAAAATGCGCACTGTGCAAACACAGGTATGTACATGTGTTTGATGTATACACTTAATTGGGATATTTCAGTGTTGACCTCTGGGCTTTACAAATGTGGAAAGCTTTTGCTAATATATATATACCCTGCAGTTGCGCTACATGTACATATTATTGTTGAATTGTGATGGTGTGGTAGTTAATTGCTCCAAGGCAGAGACGGTTTGTAGATCTTTAATGGTTTTATATATCTCTGTCAAAGACAATTTTATATATACATCCATGATTGTATCTTGTTCGGTCATTTGTTCATTTCATAATATGAATAAACATTTGAATACCTCACAACCACGGAATTAGCTATCTAAGTCTGTGGTCACAACACTTGCCGTCATTACATATTGAGTGCATTATTTACATTGTGTGTCTCTCTTTACATGAATTCTGAAAAAAATGTAAAATAAATACATAACAAAAGGAAATTGATAAGGCATAATATATATGCGGTGTTATACCGTCCATACATAGCGTTTACTGTAATAAACGCTTCTAACCATACCAGTTAAATTTCATTAGTTGATGTGAAGTGGCACAATTGCACAAATATATAAGGATATTTTAGAAATTATCGTTATGAATCTAGAGCACAACAATCCAGTGGACAATTTCTTTTCGTGCACATTTGCTTTATGCAATTCAGCATTACTCTAAAACCTGTTTCTGACATATGCTCGTGTTTTTACCACCACGCACAGGCCGATTACAAATCAGGGGACACAAGACTATTCCTAAAATGTGTCGTGTCAAATACTCTACAAGAATATAACTAACTTGTGCATGCCTTTTTTAAATGACATTTGGTCCATGTCATTGGCTTCTTTTTTGGCACTAAGGCATTATGTATTTGTCATTTCATTTTTGGTGTCTTTTAAATATGTATATATAAAAAAAGAACGCGAGACTTAGTCAAATAAGACGAGGAAAGTTGATAATTGTATGGTTTAACTTGTGACATAACAGCCTTTCAAAGAAAGACTAAAAATATCACATTGATACCGAAAATGTGGTTTTAATCTGAAACAATATAAGGTCGATCCCACATTATTCAAAAGTCGAGACATCTTGCTGGAACAAATAGTTAATTTTATAAGCGATACAAAATATGTATAATACGATATGGTAGAGGAAGACGAAAACTTTTCATTTATTCTTGGTGGAAGGAACGATATTTCTTTGGACGATGGAGAATGGGACAATTGCTATAATTAAGTGACAAACTTGCTGGGATGTTCACAGAAATGAACATACTTCTCCAGAACAGCTCTTGAGCATAGTTTGAAGAATACAGTAAGAAACTGTAGTATTATGTAAATATGTAGTGTTCATGCTGTAAATTGTTAAAAACAACAAGACCATGTAATCTCTTATCAGAGGAAATAAAGAATATCTGTCTGTCTATTTCCTCTATACAATGTATATATCAATTGCTAACATTAAATGTAATGCTCGCTCATGTGATGACAATCAGTTCTGCTTTGAAACGAATTATTTTAACATAATTTAGCGTTGACCCACGATCATACATGAACAGTAATTATATATAAATGACTTACCTGTCTGCATACCGGACACGGGAACTGTCCAGTACTTTCGTACCTACTCACTATGTAGTCACGCAGACAGCCCTCGCAGAATGTGTGAAGACATGGTAAGGCTTTCGGTTTAACGAACGTTTGAAAACATATTGCACATGTGAGGAAGCTGTCTTGGATCTCTCGTGCAACCCTAACACTCGCCATTTCCTTCACTGTCACTAGCTAGGTTATTTACATCCCCGGTCATTGCCACATGATCCTTCCTCTCTTGTCACATGATTTGCACTCTCGGGATTTTTCATGAATGTTATCTTGAAGTACGTCTAGTCCAAAGGTAACCCGAAAGGAAACGGGTGCTCATGGAAAAAAATACCCTAAACGTTTTACCCTGTAGTTAAACGTTATATCAGCACCTATATAGATACAAATTATATTTATTCTGATCATTCATTTGCATACGAATGATGACGATTATAGTTTTGACTTGTCCATTACTTTTCAAAACTGTTTAAAGCAAAACTTTAATGCTCAATCCCGGATATAGATTCCGAATTTAGTGTGCTTCACGTACTTCCTTTTTCAAAAACGTGTACTCGTCTTATGAAAGTTGATCAAACTTGTATATGAGTTTGTTTGGTAGTATAAGGTAATTTAAACATGTTGTTGGATTTACATTCGGTGACATTTAAGCATGCATATTATTCCTTGGATTGAAGTAGTGTATGGTTGTCATGGTTATCAGTAGAGAACTAGAACTGTTTTTCAGATAGGTAGCTAGTCTCTACTGTAGGCCAAACCGTACTCCCAACAGTGTTAGAGGTTTACACGTACGGCGAGATACTTTTGACAGGCGTCGCAGTCGGCAAAATCATATCCGATAGAAGAAAAGCCGACCAGCGGCCTCTTATTTTATAGGAGTAGGCCAAACCTTTACTTCATATAGTCCTCTCACTATTCATAACATAATTGTAGAAAACTAGCACTGCTTCTAGATCTAGAAGAGTATCAAGACTGACTAGAGGCTATATCATGTACCGGTATCTGACATCGAATTTACATTAAATGATCAATAACAAAACAATAAAAAAAATGTTTCAAGTGGGGAAAAATTAAGGAAAATGGTAAAAATACATGATTTTTAAAGAAAATTCTCAGGGGNGACAAGTGCGCATGCTAGTGTCATATGATGGCAAACAGCAACTCTGAACGGTTAAATTGTGATGTCAGAATCACCATGCCAGAGATGTCTTGTATACAGTATATATATATATATTCCACTGCATTGTGTATCACTTGACTTTTTTAAGACAAAATTGCATATATGTGATTGTGAAACAGGACATCAGATGGTATGATAATAAGAAGAATGTATTGTAACTTCACTGTAAGCTTAAAGCACTCTATCCAGAAAGCTTTAAACTTTTCTAAAATAAGTAGATGCTGGTTAGTTATAAGATTTCAACAACTAATTATACAAGGGGATTATTATTTTGTGTGTAACAAATGAATTCGTTATTTCATTCCAGTTGTTATCAAGTACAAGTTCAATATTTTTATGTTCCAAAGAAAGTAAAATTGATTACAAACACATTTTTCATTGAAACTAAATCAGGATGGCTTCTGCATCAGTATTGCGGCGACTAACACAACGAGCTGACGAAGCAGAGAAAATCATCACTGAACTGAAAGCTACCATAGAACTTTTGAAGGATAAGGCTGGTAAGTGATTAAAGGGGCTGTGAATTGTTAGATGTAGTTTGCCATTGTATTGTTGATCATGACCAGTACTTTAAATACATGTATATTTTAAATGGAAGGAATAGTACTTTATTTATCTTAAATGGAAGGAAAAGTACTTTATTTATCTTAAATGGAAGGAATAGTACTTTATTTATCTTAAATGGAAGGAATAGTACTTTATATATTTTAAATGGAAGGAACAGTTGAACCCCTCCCCCGAAGGAATGATAGATCCAATAGAGTGATACGTGTCTACAAGTATAATGGTATTTACAACCTGATCCAGTATTCCCCAACCCACTTTCATTTTGTAGGTGTTAACAGTCGATTTTAAGCTTGTACTACATGTAGCCATTTCACAGGATTGGGGACATACTTGTCTTCCCTGCAACCATGATTATTCAAAGAGATAACTTGATTGATGTCTGTGTCTTGGGAAAGCTGTTTGAGTAGATCGTATATAATTCAGACATATTACAAGATACAACATTAGATTACTAAAATCAAATATCAATGTAACAATTTTAAATATGTCTTTGCAAGTACATTATTCTCCTCTAAACTGAAATTAAACACTGTTTTTAGTGTTACCGCTGTTTGTCTTACCCATTCTGATACAGTATCATCAATCTTATGACTTCATTCCTTTCTTAACAAGACAGACTTCTACATACCTAGTAATTATAAATAAGTAGAAAGACAAGTTGAACAGAATACTTCAAATGAATTTACATTTGCTTAAAGGAGAGCGCTTATTCGGTTATTAAAAAGTGAGGTAGGGTAGAAAAGGTTGTGTAACTTCAACCATAGATATCACATTATAGACTATATGAATGAAGAATCTTAAGCTGTTAGTTGTATTTTTAGCTGTCGTTGAAAGTAAACCTGAGGAAAAAAGACTGCAACAGGACAATGCAAAGCTTAGAAAGGAAATTGATGCCTTAAAAATCCAGCTTGTTCTCTCCGAAGTGAGAAATGGAGGTATGTACAGAAATTAAATTTCTTATGTTGACTTGAAAACGTAACAATTTAGAAAGCTATATATGTACCAACAGGAATTCATTGCATAGGGTATTTCATTCTTCTTCTCAAAATCACATTTTGGATGCTTGGACCTATTAGTGAAAATGACATTAAATTTTTTTTTAACACAGACGACCTCATCACATTGTATATTGATACATTGTCAGGCTGCATTACATAATGCGTCATGCATAGTTTGTTTACCATCCACCATTAAACCACTCTATGAGCATTGTCATTATGCTTGTTTAAATTAATATTAAACAGTATTGGGTATTATTAAAGTAGATATATGTGATATTCTAAAAACAAAATTTTGAAACTGAATCAACATTTTGTTTGTTTTGTTGTCACGCTGTTGCTAGGACCTCTAACAGAAAAATTCTCTCTACTTCACTGCTCCCATGTATATCAAGCTATTTAGGTAAAAGGCCCCTTAGCTGGAAGTGGGAAAATATCATCAGCATTTGGTAAAAATTGGGAAATATCATCAGCATTTGGCAAAAATTGGGAGAATATCATCAGCATTTGGCAAAAATTGGGAAAATATCATCAGCATTTGGTAAAAATTGGGAAATATCATCAGCATTTGGCAAAAAATTGGGAAATATCATCAGTGTTCCCACATGTACAGAAAATAAAACCTGCAAGGTGATCAGCAAAAAAGTTCCTCAAGCTGTTTCTTATGTAGAGCAGTAAAAACACATCATTTTTCAGTGTTTTTGTTCAAATTTTTGTTATTTATGGATTTTGAAAGCTCCTTCATGGATGGTAATATAACACTTTGAACGTTGCACATATGACAACTGGCAGACTTGTATAAACATGCTTTTTTTATCCAGTTGGGAAAATAAAGTACAGGGTCGTTTTTCAATTGGTAAACACCTTGCAAAAACCATGATAAATGAAGAAAACTACTGTACCTAGAAAGCTGTATAATTTGTGTTCGTAATTGCTTCAATAACTTAAAGGGGCATCACGGTGAAGTAACTTTATTTTTTGTCATTTTTTCAAATACTACATAAACATATCAAGCGAGACTCCTTATGGAAAATAACGATCGAATTTGGCTGAAATAGATTCATAAAAATGATTAAATCTAAGAAAATCATCGGTATTTCTACCTGTCTGACCAACGTTTTGTTCAGGGATTTCCCTCTACTAGCGCATGCGCATAGCACACCATTTCTTTGTAAACAAAATGACTGGCCGTGTGAAGTAAGCGAAAGAAAAGTGTTGTACCGTGTCAGCTACGAAACGAAAAGTTGCCAAATGGTCAAAAGATAGCGCAAGGAGTACGTTACGGAATCATTATTGCAGGTGGGCAGTATTCAAAGGAGAAAATAACTGCCGTAGCAGTTAGTACGGTGCATGTATTCTTCCGGATAGCCGGTTAAGCTGAAATGGAATCGACAGAAATGCTAGCGCTGTTTATGTTATGAATAAATATCTAAAACTATTAAGCTCGCTAGTATCTTTGTCTGAGTTTGAACACAGATGAACTTAGTTTAATATGTTAATGGGCATGTATTGGAGAGAGTTTACTTTGTGTTTCTATAATTATACAGTGGTTTATGCGAAAGGAAGGGATAAGTGACTGGTTAGTTTGATTTTTCCATGAGGCCCTCCAAGGGATAACTGTTGTGATGGCCCACGGCGTATTTTCTGGGTCACCGAGATACGTGTTATCGAAGTCCGTGGATTTACATAATTTATAATATTACCGGGTTCAATAAAATGGTATGATTTAATTATATTGCTGAATTAAACGATTATTTTTGTTTTTACATGCAAGATTTAAATTAGTACTAATATGAATACCCGGCCTCCTCTGCCCCGGCAACATAAAAAAAAAATCAGAAAGGTTTGTCCCTTGGTGTAGGGAAGGTGTTTAGCCCCGTACCATCTGTACCGGCCACATTCCGGTACTAAATTCAATATATATTTAAATATATCTACTTTATGTTTATGCCTATTATCATTGTTGACATTTAATTGTAAATGTATGACGGGAGAAGGCTGTGATAAATTGTAAAAACTTGTGCCCCATCCCTTGTTTAATTTTATTGGCAACAAATTTATGTTTAAAGCTAAATAAATTTAAATTCTGAATATTGGCAAGTGTGCAATTAACTTCTAATGATGAATAATTACTGTTCAATAAGTTTGAATACGGACTTAGAAATCATATAACTTGGTTTCATAGTGCGGTAAGAAGTTGCAGTTGCCTGACGGCCCCTCTCTGGGGGCCCCTTTGGAAACCGTTTCATCTCGCTCGCACCACTTGTGTTTACTGCCTAGTCAGGTGACGTTATCGGCGCTATTTTTAGCAGGGCTTTCCCGAACAATTCAAGTGGTCAAACTGGACATTTGGAACGGACTATGAATATGGGGATAGCGAGGTAACATAAGTGGAAGTGCATACAATACATACATTCATTAAAAAAAAACGCCTTTTCACGTGATGTCCCTTTAAAAGCAAGACAAAATGTAAATAGAAGGAATGAAATTCAATTATTCAACATGTATGTGGTCATACCATTGGGTTTTCTGGACATATTTTCCATGAATTGGAATATGTCCAGGAACCCATTGTTGTAATGACCTCATAAATGTTGAAAAATAGATTCCATCCCATAAAAAAAGTCTGTTACGACTCATGAACCAGTGCTTTGCTTTCTAATTGAGAAATGTTCTTTTCAGTGACACAGGTTGCCCTGCCTTCCCAGGCAGTGGTTGCCCAGTGTGTAGACAAGGCGAAAGCCAATGCCCAGCCCTCAGCACCAACCGCTGACAAGAAGGCAGAAGTGCTTGAGCAATCTGAAAAAGTCAAAGACAATAAAAAATCCAACAAAAAAGGCAAGGAGGCTGCCAATTCTGGTAAGAATTCTGGGATCTGTGTGGGGAAATAAAGATAAAACACAATTCAATACATTGATAATTTACTAATGATATATCATAAACCTTTCAGGTCTGGGTTAAATTGACACCGTGTTATTAAATACTCAAAGAATTATTTCCATCTACCCAGGTGAAGCCAAGTCAAAGAAGGGCAAAGCAGCCACATCTGGTCCTGCTGAGCCAGAAAAGATGGATATTTCCCGATTGGATTTACGTGTGGGAAAAATTGTAGAAGTAGAAAAACATCCAGATGCAGACACACTGTACATAGAAAAGGTGGATGTCGGGGAGGAGCAGCCGCGAACTGTCGTGTCTGGACTGGTCAAGCACGTCACCCTGGAGGAGGTTAGTATATATATTATGGTAGGAGAATTATCCTTCTGGATGGATCAAGCATGTCACCCTGGAGGAGGTTAGTATATATATTATGGTAGGAGAATTATCCTTCTGGTTCGATCAAGCCTGTCACCCTGGAGGAGGTTATAATATAGTTTATATATTACGATAAGAGAATTATCCTTCTGGATGGGTCAAGCCTGTCACCCTGGAGGAGGTTAGTTTATATATTACGATAGGTGAATTATCCTTCTGGTTGGATCAAGCCTGTCACCCTGGAGGAGGTTAGTATATATATTATGGTAGGAGAATTTTTCTTCTGGTTGGGTCAAGCATTTCACTCGGGAGGAGGTGATTACAGTTATATGTAAGGGTAGGGGAATAACTGGATGGATCCAAGAAATGTAAGTATGTACTTTGACATGGTACTTAGCTTAGGTTGTTATTTTACCAGGTCCTTGGATTGGTGTATTTGGATATTTAGGTCACCTGAGAGAAAGTCTCAAGTGACCTATTGTGATCGTCTTTTGTCCTGCGTCGTCTGTCGTGCGTCCATAATCAATTTACTTTTTCGACTTCTTCTCCAAAACCCCTTAACCAATTTCAAAGAAATTTCAAAGAAACCTACCATGACCTAAGGTCAACCAAAATTGTGAATTTCATGACCCTGGGGTATCACGTTTCCCCCTAGGGAGGGGATAAACTTTACTATAGTTTATATAAGGAAATCACATTTTGGACCAGCATTTGTTTAATTTTCATTGGAATTAATTTAAACTTGGTTAGCATTATCAGCATTGGTAAGCAGTTTGGTGGTATGTACATATCAGCCCTGACTGACCTCCAGGAGCTGATGGGTGGGGCAAAAAAAGGGTTGAATTGACTGAAATTTCAAAAATCTTCTTCTCAAGACCCAGATATGGTAGATCAAATACTTTTCATAGATGGAAGGGTCTTAAGGTGCTTTACCAAAATTGTGTATATCATGACCCTGGGGTCTCACGTTTTCCCCTGGGGAGGGGGTAAACGCCAAAACCAGTCAAATTGACTAAAATTTCAAAAATCTTCTTCTCAAGATCCAGATATGGCAGAATCAAATACTCTTCATAGATGGAAGGGTCTTAAGATGCATAACCAAAATTCAGCTGACTGACAGAACCACTATTTGTACATAGTACATATACTACCCAGATCTTTCACACTACTTTTGCATTACATGTAGTTCAATTTACCTTTGTTACAAAATGATTCCTTTTTCATTTGGCAACATCGATTTAAACATCAGTTTTTACATAACTCAGGTGACCATTAAGGCCCATGGGCCTCTTGTTCTAGTAACCATGTTTTGTGTTACACTTGAAAATAGTCTGTAGTGTGAGAATATGATAACTAACCATTGTTTGATAAGTAATAACAAAAAGTACTGTGCACTGGGAAATTTTCTCTGCAGTAAGCTTCCACTTTTTTCGCCCTCCTTAACTGGGGTGAATTCATCAGTACAACTTACATAAGTAAACAACATATAAACAAGCACACATGTAGTAATCATATGTAAAGGATGAAATTAACACTTGTGATAATGGCTGGGTGAAGGTTTCCCAGTATATAATACATATTGATACCAGACTACCTGTATGAGGCCTGTTGTCAAGGGAAACTGTTCCTCAGGTGGGTCCCAACTCCTTAGTAAAATAATTTAGCTGTTGACCGATATAGCATGAAACAACTGTATGTATTATATATTTGAACAGATGCAAAACAGAGTTGCTGTGTTTATGCTAAACCTGAAACCTGCCAAAATGAGGGGAGTGCTGTCCCAGGCTATGATAATGTGTGCCAGCAGTCCTGAGAAAGTGGAGATACTCAATGTACCCCAGGGAGCTCAGATAGGGGACAAGGTTGTGGCTGAAGGCTACTCAGGTAAGCCAACACAGACTCTTTTGTTGGATGTCAGATATAATTGCTTCTGTTCCAGGGTAGGTACCGGAAGACAACATTATCTTTTCACAATTTTGTTTACCTTAAACTTTGCTTATATGGAGACCAGTGTTTCAGTCTCACACATTTCTTAGCCTAGAAATATAGAAATAGAATAGGCACTAACAACTACATGTATATCAAGGTAGAGAGAGGAGGTTAGGAATGCATGTCTCATTATATACAAAAGCTACGTTTCTGTTGGATTTTCAGTTCTGCATTAAATTTTAATTCTATATGTTAATTTTTGTTATACGCCCATTAAAATTGGCGGTTGGGCACACAGTGTCCTCTTAACATCTGTAGTAATTTTCAAAGGATTAACATTTTACAGAGTAATGCCCCTTTAATCAATTGCTGAAACAGGATCCACTCGATTTCTCAAATAACTTTCTTTGGATTCACTTCAAACTTCATGGGAAGGTTAATTACCATGAACACTCGGACAAGTTTGATAACCACCATTGTCCAACTAATTGCCGGAGTTATGTCCCTTTATTCAATTGCTGAAATGATATTCGCTCGCTATCTCAAACTTCACAGGAAGGTTATAAGTTACCGTGAGAGCTCAGGCAAGTTGATAACCACCAATATCCGACAATTTAGGAAGTTATGCCCCCTGAATCAGTTGATGAGTGAAATCACAATAGTGTGACTATGATTAGAAGACTTATTCCCCTTTGGTTTCATTAAAGTAATACTATACATGCATTCCATGATGTTTTATTGCATTCATCATCTTGCAGGTTTGTTGAATGATATCTCCTTTAACATCACTAACTCACATGTATTTCCACCATACAAGCAACTGATCATTCAAGTTGTGATGGATGTGTTCAGTTTAGATATGAAAAAGTAAAGAAAGCCAGAAAACAGTTTTTATACAATCGTCATGTTTCCACAATGATTATTTCTTATTGAAAACATGCACATCTGAGAGCTTTAAATTTGTGATGATTTTTAATAACATTTTTACAGCAAATTAAGCTTACAGGTTTATAATTACCAGAACTTATTATCAGTAAATGTTTTCTATATTAATAGGTGAACCAGATGCAATTTTAAATCCAAAGAAAAAGGTGTGGGAGGCCTTGAAGCCAGACCTTAGAACAAATGGTGATCGAGTCGCTACCTGGAAAGGTGCTCCATTAAAAATAGAAGGAAAGGGTCAAATTGTAGCCCCAACGTTGGGTGATGTACAGATCCAGTAGGATTTGGAGGATCAGCAATTTTTTGAATTATGTAAACATACCTAAAATTCAATAAAACAAGGACCGTTTTATGGTCAAGCAGCTATATGCATTATGTTATCACTATCAACCATACTGTTCATAGATTGGCAAAGTAACTACTGGTCAGGTGATTTTATAATGATAATTTGGTGGAGGGTTATATAAGGCGATATTTAAGGTCAAGAAGATTCAAGCCAAGTATATATGTGTAATAATATCAAGTAAGACCCAGTCATTTAAATGGGTAAATCATCAAATTTGATGTCCTGAACACTTACAAAAATACAACATGTGTTCCTAGTTTCTAATAATCATTTGGAATTATTGGAATAATTAAATGAAAAGTTGTTTAAATTGTCATTAAGCAAATCAAGAGTTGAAGAATTGTGATATGGAAGCCTAGCTCGTCCAAATGCCGATTTTGAAAGTTGTTTCTAAAATATGTATTTTCAGTGTCAACTATTTGATTTTATCAAGGGTCATAGCAAGGGATATTTCTACACAACATCTCGCTGAAATATCATAAACTGGACTCGGTAGCACGATGCACCACGTGCTTACATTAAACTGACAATGGTCTATCATTCCTATCCACCACCCTTTTAAAGCTTGCAGTGGCAAAAGGGTAGGATTTTAGTATCAGTTTTAACATCTTTTGTTTGTCTCGGTCAGGGGACAGAACCTGTATAATCTTTCTTGCATGGATGTACATGTATACTCAACTTTTTAGCCAAAAATGAGGTAACGCCAAGCATGGCATTTGAGAACAAAAGCTGTTTGAAAACAAAAGTTTGTGGCATCTCAAATGTAGAGTTAAATGTTGCGTAAATATGTGAAATGGTGGTTGTTCTATTGGTAGCTTGAGTTTTCAAGATGTGTTACACTTAATAGACAGGCTTAACCTAGAGGTTATATACCAAATTTACATTCTTTATGTTAAATCCAAGGACAGACCAGCATTTATTCTGCACTGTACAAGTCCATCCATCTCGAATGGCTCTGCTGAAAAAATACACATGTAGGTAGTAGAATAAATTATATCATCTTCCTACTCTTTTCACACTTTAACTTATTTTATCTATGATTGAAGTTCTGAAAAATTTGCTTCAAATTCTAGTTCTCCAATACTTTTGGGTTTCGAAAGCTTTAAGGCTTGAATCAATTCAGATTCGCCTACAACATGGTCCTTTGAGGAGAATGTATGGGCAGATTTAGTTTACATGGTGTAAAAGATGAGACATCGTACACCACACAACAGTATAAGCTCACTTTCGGCCCTTTGGGCCAGGTGAAGTAAAAATGAGACAAAAGAAGTAAACTATTTTTTTTTATTAAAAGTGATTGCATGAAAAAGGCACAAAATTATTCTCAAAAGATGGTTGTACGTATTTTTTATATTAAACATACATGTTTAATGAACATGTTAATGAATGTTTCAAAAGTAATCAGATCTAAATATTATAAACCTTACATTTATATCACAAAATCATAACCTCAATCAGATCGAAGTCTTAAGCTTTAGAACAAGTTCTGAAAAAATGTATATATACATCTTGGAATTTGTATATTATATACAATAAATAGAAAATATTTTGGTCCATTACAAAATGTCCTTTATATTTACACTGTACAAAGTACATAAAATCATATTATGACGGACAATGTATATATTGGGTAAAAATTTACAGCATTTGGAATTCATCTTTTGTACCGAAATAAAAAAGTAAGATTGAAATGAAAACAGCAAACATAAAATGTGAAGAAAATGAATTCATATATATTATGAATTCTAAAACAATATACACGAATAGTTATCTTGTCATAAACTTTGAAAGCGTGTCCTCTAAACTACATGTCTTAGTAATTAGAAAAGACAGCTTTTCTGCACCAAGAGTTTTTTTTAAGTCTTAACTTTATAGGTCACAAATATTAATTCCATAAAAAAAGTTCAAGTTCATTTTAATTTGAAGGATTATTGACATGTTACTTTTCTAAATCATCAGACTGTTAGTTAACCAGTAATATGGATTTTTTGCACAAGACCAGAACTTACAGCTGTCTTGTTCACAGCTTGACAGCCGACATTGAAAAACGTGCTGTGTGAAATGGTGAAGATTGCATAGATCATTTAGACATATTTAACTATATTAAGTATTGACAATTGTATTTGCAACGATTCGTTAAGAAAAAGAAAATAAAGACGTGATAAACACCCACACAAAAATACAATATTAAGTCTACACACAACAACACAACATTCAAAAACGTTTTTTTAACAAGATTTAACATAAAGTGGGGCTTTGTGGATTTTGGATAACCTGTGACCCACATTTTATTTGGAAATGTTGATGACCCCATTTATTACATAATCTTGAGGTCAAAGGTTAAATAGAGGTTGGGATTAAAACAATTGCTGAGTATGTATAGCATATGCTCTGAAAACACACATTTTCTGCATTGGAGATCAAAGGTCGAAAGATTTAAACAATTTAAAAAGATTATGAAGAAACTTTTTAGTGTGAATCGCACATCAGGTTTATTTTTTTTATTTTTGAAGTTATTTGAGGAACAAGAAATCTCAGGGGTTTTGAGAGGGCTTCTAATATATTACAGATCCTTTTGTCATAATACTGCCGTAAAAAACCCACATTTGATGCACATCAGCTTTTGAAGTCTGGTATCAATCCTTCGTAATCTTTGAAGGACATGTATCATCCTAGCAATTGGTCAGTTTTGTTATCTGAAACCAATCAAAAAGCTAACCTTGTGCCTTTGTCTAATTCCATGGATACAGAGCATTTAAGTGAGTGGAACAGCTCGATTTCCAGGGTGGCAGTTGAGAAAATGCAATGACAATGAACATATTATATATTTCGGATTTCCGTCATGTGCTGATTGACATTAACTTACATTCTTTACATATCCAGGAAATATTGGTATTTAAATCAAATGTGTTAAAAAAAATAAGTTTGAAAAATATGATAAGCATTTAACAAGAATGTTTCTTCAAAAACAAGTAGAAAAAAACTGCAAATATTTCTTGCATTATTTTCTTTAAAGATATTTTTTTGATTGTCTTTCCTTTACTTTTAAAACATCTAAAACACGTCTTTCTTTACTTTTAAAACATCTAAAACATGCCTTTCTTTACTTTTAAAACATCTAAAACATGTCTTTCTTTACTTTTAAAACATATCTAAAACACAACAAAATGTATAAAATTGAACACAAGCATTTGCCATATATGTGAATCCTCTTTACCTTTACAGTATTTTAAAATTTGAGCCTATTAATATAAAAGGTTGCAAACACTTTATAATCAATGTTTATGCAGCATTCTGGTTTCTGGATAATAAAATGTACATGAATCTACATCCAATCTTTTACTGCAAAAGAGTAAAGTACAAAATCAATGTTCATGCAGAATTCAGGTCAGGAGTATATAAATATCAACATACCACCTTTTTAGCAAAACAGAAAAGTATGATCAACAACTTGAAAACTAATATCACTAAATAAAGTCAAACTCGTATGGAGACTCCAGTGTTATTGGATGACTGGCGATGCAGGATCATCAAGCATCCAATTTGGTGTATACATGTTTGTGCCGAGTCTGGACTCCACAGCCTCTGCCCTCTAGTTCTCTCTCTCATCGTCAACATTAGGCCTGCAGAAGAAAACAAATCTATTAGATTGCCATCATAGAATAAATGACTAGCAGAACATTTTAACAGTTTAATATTTACCAGGTAAATATCATGAGATATTCATTTGGCAGGTACTGTTTAAAACCAAAGAGTGATCATGATAAGATTTATACCAATACCAAATATCAAATTAAAAAAAAACCCAGATCAATTAGGATTCATACATAAGTTCTCCAATGAGTAATGGCTGGTTCTCCTGCTTATATAACTCAAGTAATTAAAGTTTACTTTCAAAATGTGTGAAGACACAGGGTTTACTGAATGTCTTAACAATTTGAAAATTGCCTAATGAAAATTACATAAATGTGATCATGATCACCAGACATCAGTTTCAGGGACCTTTTCCTACAATGATGTTCACATCATTTATATCTAGAAAACGAAATGTCTTTCCCTTGCAAATGCATTAATTCTATTTCTGATGTGGAAAACAATTAAAATGAATCGGAACCTAACAAATTAATGAAGGAAGCACCTCAAAATCATAGGAGTTACACTCACTTAGGTTCTCAGCACCCATGGAATATGTCATGACAAAGTCGAAGGCTCCAAGTAGGCTTCGTATTTGATTGGTTTAAGGTACCAGGTATAAAAAATACCAATCTTTATGCTGATATATATATATATATACCTGCTCTTTGAAGTTAAAAGAGGAGGGACCACCTACTTCAAAACCAGTTAATACAAATGTTTTGCTGCCATGGGATTCTTTTGATGTTCATCAAAGGATTAAACCATGTCAGGTAAAGAGCCTTTGATTTAATCATGACACATATTTCCAAGGGCAGATAACATTATAGGGCATATACATGCATTTTAGCCCCTGGAATTTCTAGGATGCATTTGAAGATGACAGTGTGAAGCCTTATTACAGGACAACATTATTCAAAGACTGACAAATGAAATATAGGCATGAGTGTTCACCATTAGTGGGTAGCAAAAATGTTTTATACAAAACTTGCATGTATTAGCAGGTTTATACAATGAGTCAGGAGTCAGCAAACTTACTGTCGTTTTGGATGGTATATCTATTACAGACATTATCCAAGGAATGGTATAATTATATGACAAAAATGTACGGTAATAGCTAGAAGTTTTCAGGTGTGCTGTTTTGTAATATATTTTTTTTCAAATGGCTTTGTAAGTTATGATATATCAATATGTTCTTGCAGATATAGACATAATTTTTCTATTTTCACACATGTAACACACATTGTATTCAATTGTATACTAACGTCTTTTTTATAATGCATTTTGAATAAACCTGCTATGGAGAAATGTGCACCAACATATTGGTAGAATTTTTAATAAACTTAATATAGACAAGTCAAACTGTACATCAAGGTGATGGTACAGCATTATAGATAAACTTACAACTAGAACTGGATATCAATGTAATGGTACAGCATTAAAGATAACTGCATTATAGATAAACTTACAACTAGAACTGTATATCAATGTAATGGGACAGCATTAAAGATAACAGCATTATAGATAAACTTACAACTAGAACTGTACCTCAATGTAATGGTACAGTATTATAGATAAACTTACAACGGAGAACTGTACATCATGGTGATGGTACAGCATTATAGATAAACTTACAACTAGAACTGGATATCAATGTAATGGTACAGCATTAAAGATAACAGCATTATAGATAAACTTACAACTAGAACTGGATATCAATGTAATGGTACAGCATTAAAGATAACAGCATTATAGATAAACTTACAACTAGAACTGTATATCAATGTAATGGTACAGCATTGAAGATAACAGCATTATAGATAAACTTACAACTAGAACTGTAAATCAATGTAATGGTACAGTATTATAGATAAACTTACAACGGAGAACTGTACATCAATGTGATGGTACAGCATTATAGATAAACTTACAACATAGAACTGTACATCAATGTAATGGTACAGCATTATAGATAAACTTACAACGGAGAACTGTACATCAAGGTAATGGTACAGCATTATAGATAAACTTACAACGGAGAACTGTACATCATGGTGATGGTACAGCATTATAGATAAACTTACAACGGAGAACTCTACATCAATGTGATGGTACAGCATTATAGATAAACTTACAACATAGAACTGTACATCAATGTAATGGTACAGCATTATAGATAAACTTACAACGGAGAACTCTACATCAATGTGATGGTACAGCATTATAGATAAACTTACAACAGAGAACTGTACATCAATGTAATGGTACAGCATTATAGATAACAGCACTATAGATAAACTTACAACTAGAACTGTACATCATGGTAATGGTACAGCAGTATAGATAAACTTACAACTAGAACTGTACATCATGGTAATGGTACAGCATTATAGATAAACTTACAACAGAGAACTGTACATCAATGTAATGGTACAGCATTATAGATAACAGCACTATAGATAAACTTACAACTAGAACTGTACATCCAGGTAATGGTACAACATTATAGATAAACTTACAACTAGAACTGTAGATCAAGGTAATGGTACAACATTATAGATAAAGTTACAACTAGAACTGTACATCAAGGTGATGGCACAGCATTATAGATAAACTTACAACTAGAACTGGATATCAATGTAATGGTACAGCATTAAAGATAACTGCATTATAGATAAACTTACAACTAGAACTGTAGATCAAGGTAATGGTACAACATTATAGATAAACTTACAACTAGAACTGTATATCAATGTAATGGGACAGCATTAAAGATAACAGCATTATAGATAAACTTACAACTAGAACTGGATATCAATGTAATGGTACAGCATTAAAGATAACTGCATTATAGATAAACTTACAACTAGAACTGTACATCATGGTAATGGTACAGCATTATAGATAAACTTACAACTAGAACTGTATATCAATGTAATGGTACAGCATTAAAGATAACAGCATTATAGATAAACTTACAACTAGAACTGTACATCAATGTAATGGTACAGTATTATAGATAAACTTACAACGGAGAACTGTACATCATGGTGATGGTACAGCATTATAGATAAACTTACAACTAGAACTGTACATCAATTTAATGGTACAACATTTTAAGATGAACTTACAACGGAGAACTGTACATCAATGCACTGACTGTATTTTCCTCCATCGCCAAATGTCACAAGGGCTTTGACTTTAAAGTCTCCACTTAAGAATGCAGCAGCATTCACTGGAATACTCAAACTGGACACCTTGTAAGTTTTCTACAAGAAAAGTGCATGTTTTAGTTTAATGAATCAAATATATCTGTCACATGTTATCCTAGTACGTAGCAGATAAAATTAAAATACAATATTTGGCAGTGACTGCTAATATTTCACCCTGCTTTTGTATCAAACTATAGAGAAACTGAGTGAGCTCACAATGATATACCCCTGTATCATTTTATCTAGGCATTCAAATTTTTGTTTGCAGGGGTTATAATGCCCCAATCACAAATCCCTTCCTTCATGCATATCTACATTTGATGTACTTTCACTCTGCCACGTTACAATCAAAGTCCCTAAGGAACTGAAGGATTGGCAGCATGAATGCAATTTTTTCTATAGATTTTATCATGAGCTGGCTGACTCCACAATACTAGTGTCGGTATACATTTATGTAGAATGAAATAAAAACAATACTGGACCCATCTCGCTTCTGTTACAGAAGCCACATAGGTTTTGTTTCAGATTTTACTTTAAGATTGCATATACATGTATATACATGTTTTGATTTAAACATATTTTATTTGCAAATATACAAATGGGATCAGACACAAGTTGATTTTGTTTTTAACATGAACAGAAATATTATTCAAAGTGACAAAAAACAATAAAACCACCTTACTCAATATCTAGCATACAGATTTCAGACTAAAAAGGATTTGAAACTAGCACCTCTGATTCTTAACAAGGAAAATGAAGAAATTTTAGCACACTGACTCCTTTGAGCCCCACCCCACAGCCATTGGGGGTAGGGCTGGCTCAAAATTTTCAAAGTATCAAACTGTCAATTCAAGGTTATAATTCCAATCAAGTTATTAACATGTAATATTCAAAGTATCATTTGCCATTATAAACCATAATAAATTCTGCTGGGTCTTAAGAAGATTTTTGAAATTTCAGTAAATTCGACCCTTTTTGGCCCCACCCATCAGCCCCTGGGGGTCAGTCAGTGCTTATTATCAAACTGCTACCTAATACTGATAATACTAACCCAAATTGAATTACTTCCAATGGAAATTAAACAAATGTTGGTCCAAAATGTGATTTCCCTACATAAACTATAGTAAAGTTTAACCCCTCCCCAGGGGGAAACACAAGACCCCAGGGTCAAGAAATTCACAATTTTGGTAAAGCACCTTAAGACCCTTCCATCTATGAAGAGTATTTGATTCTACCATATCTGGGTCTTGAGAAGAAGATTTTTGAAATTT